TTTATTTTTCTAATTTAACATTTTTCAAATTTCCAAAATTTATTTCTGGTAAATTTTGTGTATACCAATAACTCATCTTACCTATTTTCTTCTTTTGTTGTCGACCAGCTGACTCTGTTATTGTTTCCTTCTTCTTTTCCACTGTAAACACAGTAATATGGCAAAAATTAATCATGCATTATGCTAATGAAGGAGGCTTTACCACAGCTGAACCAATGAAAGAAGCTCACAAGAAAGTTACACCTGCCTCTGATTATGGTCATGAGCAAGTCACCTGATCTACTCCCACACCTGGTGGCAGGACAAGGCAGACACAGCAATCTAAGACTAAAACACTACTGTAAGCATCACCAAACACCTATAACGGACTACATAAGGCCACAATAATAATAACTGATGGAACATAATAGAAACTAAGATGGCTTTTAAGCCATCAGCTGAGGGTGATTGCCTCAGGTTGAGTCTAAGCATGATTTTCAAATTCTGCTCTCTCAGAGAACTACGGTTACTTACAGTTCATTCTCATATTCACTCCAGAAGGTAGGGATTCATTCATTCTGCTACTGGTGCCAAATAACAGGCACTGTTCTGGGTAGATAAAAAGATAAACATGATCCCTGCCCTCCGAAGGGCAATCTAGTGATGGCAGACAATCGAATAACAATTACAGTACAGAAAACTGCCACGACAGACCTATGCACAAGGTAGGGAGATCAGGAGAGTCAAAAAAGCTAAGACCGGGGTGCCCGGCTGGCTCAGGCAGCGGAGCATGCGACTCTTGGTCTCAGGGTCATGAGTTCGGGCCTCATGCTGGGCATAGAGATTACTTAAAAACAAACAAAGGAAGCTAAGACCAACTTCTTTGGATGCGTTTCAATTAATATGATGATAAAAAAAGTAAACGTAGAAGTAACCTTTTAAAGAGGAATAATGTGAGGCGCCTGAGTGGCTCAGTCGGTTAAGTGTCCAACTTCGGCTCAGGTCATGATCTCACAGTTTGTGGGTTCGAGCCCCACACTGGGCTCTGTGCTGACAGCTCTGAGCCTGGAGCCTGCTTTGGATTCTGTGTCTCCCTCTCTCTCTCTGCCCCTCCCCTGCTTGTGCTCTGTCTCCCTCTCTCTCAAAAATAAATAAACATCAAAACAAAAAACAAAAAAAGAAGGGAAGTAACATAAGATTTGTGTCTTGAAAAAATTACTCTAGATGTACCATAGAGAATAAATTCGAGTGGCTGCAGGGAGACCAATGAGGAGGCTACTGCAGTAGACGAAATGAAACATGATACAAGTTTAGACCATGTGGTGGTGGCAGGACTGGAGGGATGTAGAGAGACTGAACGTTTTCCAAGAGGAGAATAGTAACTTGAGGGTAGACTGCACATACAGAGGGAGAGAAGAAAGTATTCAAATCAGCAAATATTTATGAAACATTTACTACGTGCCAGTCACTGTTCTAGGTGCGTGGAATATATCAGAACAACAACAACAAAAACCCTGTCCTAGTGAAGCGTTTGTTTTAGCAAGTGGAGATAAACAATAAACAGTAACACAACACACAAATAAATCATATATTAGAAAGCGACAAGCACCATGGGGGAAACAATAGAGCAGGATACGGAAAATGAGCAGTAGTGGGAGAAGAGATGAGCAGTTTCAAAGACAGCGGTCAAATGAAGACTCACAGAAGTAAACTTTGAGTAAAGATTTGAAGGGAAGAGGCTTAGCTGAGCAGACATCATAGACATGAACATTCTAGGCAGACGGAAGAGCCAGTAGAAAGGTCCCAGCACAGGAGTATGGCTGATATACCGTGAACAGCAAGCAGGTCAGTGTGGCTGAAGCAGAGTGTGTTGAGAGGAAAAGTGTATCAGAGTAGAAATAGGGGAGGCTCTGTAGGCCACTGTAAGGACTTTGGCTCTTCTTGAGTGAAAATGGGACCCCATCACAGGGTTATGAGCAGAGATGGGACATGAGCCAAGAGTCTTTAAAAAGGATCATTCTGTGTTATCTTGGGGACAGACCACAGGTAAACAGAAACACCTGCTGGAGACCGTGGCAATAATTCATGCAAAGGATGAAGGTGTCTTGGACTGTGGTAGTTATCAATGGAGGTGATGAAAAGTGGTGAGATTCTGAATGTATCTGAAGGTGGTGCAAACGTCTTAGATGTGGGGTGTGAGAGAAGAGTTAAAGATAACTGCACAAGGATTACGGCCTGAGCAAGTAGAAGGATAGACTTGCCATCATGATTGCTACCAAGGAAGGAGGCTTGGAAGTGAGAAACAAGTATTCAATTTGGATATGCTGGGTTTGAAATGTGTATCAGACATTACAGTGTAATTGACCAAACTGAGACATGAATCTTTAAAAATTTCTTTGAGTATAGCTGACACATAATGTTACATTTCAGGTATACAACATACTGATCCAACTCCTTTACATGTTATGCTAAGCTCACCACAAGGTGAGCTTTTACAGGGATATATGAATCCCGCGTTAAGAAGAGAGAGCTCAGGATATAAACTGAGGTGCCATTGCCAAATATAGCACATGATTGAGTTCACCAAGGGAGTGAGTATAGAGATTAAAAATAGGGCGCCTGGGTGGCTCAGTCAGTTGAGCGTCCGGCTTCGGCTCAGGTCATGATCTCCTGGCTTGTGAGTTCAAGCCCCACGTCGGGCTCTGTGCTGACAGCTCAGAGCCTGGAGCCTGCTTCGGATTCTGTGTCTCCCTCTCTCTGCTTCTCCCCTGCTCGTGCTCTGTCTCTCTCTCTCTCAGAAAATAAATAAACATTAAAAAAAAGAGATAAAAACAAATTTGGAGTCACCAACAATAGGAGGTTAAGAAGAGCAACCAACAAGGAAACTGCAACAGAACGATCAGCAAGATAAGAGCAAAACCTGAAAGCCAAGTGAAGAAAGGTTCACAGTCAAGGTTTCAGGTTTGCACTATCAGAGGCATGGAGGTACCATTCACCACATAGGGCAATACTGGAAGAGGACCGCATTAGGGAAGGTAAAGATAATGAGCTTGGTTTCTATGTGTGGAGGTACATTATCCATATTGAATAAGTGAAGGAGCAGCAAACTATAATTTTAAAAGTAGAAGTTTGGATTCTAATTCTTTGTTTGCTGAGACATTAGTATGTCATTTAACCTTTCCGAGCCTCAATCTCTTTTCTATACAGAGACGGTAATATATAGAACCGTAAATGGCTACTATGCGGATCAGGTGAGATATTGCAAAGAAGAAAACCCTATAAACTCTTATGAAGACATAAAGGTATGTCATAGAATACAGAAAACCATAGAAATGTTAAGATACAAAAGTTATATTTAATCTTTAAAAAGCAGAAAAGGACACTGAAAGCCACATCAAACCTGGAAGGAACCATTCACTTAATACCTCTCGCAGCTCCCTCAGCTGCGTCCTGGAGAATTCCTGCTCTATTTCAAAGACAGCAAACTCTACGTGTTCTTAACCTTCTCCTCAAACTCCATCAACCTCCTCACACATCAGAAACTTGGCTTATCCCTGAAGACACTGCTTACCTTGATACTAATCATAATGACCTACTGGTCTCCAAACACACTTTCTTGTTAAAATGCCCACATTTTTGGGGCGCCTGGGTGGCGCAGTCGGTTAAGCGGCCGACTTCAGCCAGGTCACGATCTCGCGGTCCGGGAGTTCGAGCCCCGCGTCAGGCTCTGGGCTGATGGCTCGGAGCCTGGAGCCTGTTTCCGATTCTGTGTCTCCCTCTCTCTCTGCCCCTCCCCCGTTCATGCTCTGTCTCTCTCTGTCCCAAAAATAAATAAACGTTGAAAAAAAAAAATTAAAATGCCCACATTTTTGCACACATGCTCTTTTCTTCACCCCCAATCCTTCCTCCATCTCATTCTCTATCCAATTTCTAACTACCCAAGGAGGACACCAAGGCCATCTGCGTCACAAACGCTTCCAGGGCTGCTCAAAAGTGAACGGGATCTCTTTTTTAGAACCACCACAGCACATAACAAGTACTTCTCATGTCCCGTAGCACTGCCATTTGTATTACACGTTTTGCATAAAAATATCCAATACTGCACATATCTATATATAGCTCCAATTCAAATCGGATTCACCTCTGTATTCCTATACAGTTTTTGTATCGGCTGGTGCTCCTAAAATATTTACTGTGAACATGCATGCGCTCAATGAACTTGATATATGGGAGCTACAGCTAAAGGCTGTTGCCATACTCACATTTTTTACTCTGTTTTTCCACCTCCGCTTTCAGTCTCTTGTACTTGTCTGTCCTGTACACCAGGACCCAGGTGATGCCTGAAACATCAAAAGCAACATGCTAATAGAGAAATGTGTATAACGCTCACAACAAACTTATTAGTGGGGACTGCTGGGTAAGGAGGGATTTCAACTTTTTGCTTTATATTTACCAGCAGTTAACTTTTTTCGAATGTTAAGACAATGGACTCTTCAACCAAAACAACGGAGACATGATATGAAGGTGTCTCCACAAATACGGAAGTGAAATCTACCCTAGCGACCCCTCCCGCTCCTGTTCCCGAGTTACCCCGATTCCCTGGATGAGCCCTCCCATCCCAGCCCTAAGCAAGCAACGCTCGCGACCACTCCCTTGGTGGCCCGACGGTCCCGCGCCTTAGGATCCTTCCCCTCGGAAGCTGATCAAACGTCAGAGAAGCAGCCGCTCTCACCCTCGGCGAGAAGAGCCGTGCACACGGAGATAAAAACGATGAGCAGCGTGTCCGCGAACATGGTGCTCATCTTGCGCTTTCCTCTCTGCACTCCCACCCGCCAGGGGGGAAGCGCTCGAGAGCCAGCAAAAATGAAGCAAAAACGGCTTCCCTAGATTTCAAGACCACCGAGCAACGCTCTCTGACAGCCCGGAGCCACACTTCCGCTTCCGGGGCACGGCGCCGGAAGGGCTACTTCCGGAGAGTTGCGTGGCCGCGCGAACACAGCGCGAACCACGCCACCCCGAGGGCTGGCGCTCAGGCCCAATCTCGCGAGAGCTGGGCCTTGAGCGGCCGCGCCAGAATTGCGGCGGCGAGACTTGGCCCCGCGGCCCTGGCTCGCCGGGCTGTTGGGAGGTCCTCCTCCCTGCCGGGATCCGCTGTGCCCGCTCGTCCGCACCTCTGCCCCAGTCACACCTCTACGGCCGGTCAGGTGGCTTATTGAACGCCTGCGTTAGGTGCCAGGCCACGGAGTTGGAGCTGGGGACGCGGAAATCAGTTAGTCGTGGCTGCTGGCTTCAAGGAACGCCCGTCCTAGCGAAGGAGAGAAACTTGTACAGACGGTGCGATTAGGGTTTTAAGAGAGGTGTGGCCCGAAGGCTGCTGTGACCCAGTTGAGGGGGTGGTCAGAGACAGCCGCGAAAGGAATCGGAGCAGTGCTTCGAGGGGTAGGAGTGCTTTGCGGGGAAGCAGAGGCCTTTCTAGGCAAAGACGCAGGCGGTGGAGAGTACGTGGTGTAGTGGAGCAGTGAGTGGCGAGTCCAGAGAAGGGGTCATAAACCCAAATGCCGACGGTGGTGGCGTATAAATCATCTTATGCAGGCTGGGCACAAGGAATGTGGAGGATGGGAGCGATGGGAGGCGCTAAGCATGAACGAGGGAGCGATCATTTTCTCTGAAAGGAATGATGGGTGCTCAACATCCGGCCAGTTTCCCTGGGAGAAGGAGCGCCCGGTGTTGATTATCTTCGCTCTTTCCAGGAAAATACAGAAGTCTTGATGTATGTGAACGTTCAATCTCTAGATGCTGGTAACTCGTTTTAAATGCCGTAGCAGTGAAAGAAAATGCCTCAGAAGCTTGGTTTCAGCCTGTGCGGAGGTTTTCAGCTTTTTCAGACGGATTATGTCTGTGTGGAGTGTGTGTTTATGAAAATCTGGAAGCTGGCTCAACTGGCTCCCCTTGGCTTGTACTTTCTACCACTGGGTCTTTTCACTTAAACTCCGATGTGCTGAGAGTTCTGTAATGCTACTTTTGGCCTTTTTTAGTTTTATGTGCGTTTCTCGTCTCTTTGGAGTTCGCAGCAGAGAACCTGTCTCCTTTGAACTATGAATTTCTATGTGGTAGTAGGTACAGAGGTAGGCCCTGTAGGGTCAGAGAGGGTGATTAAGATAGTATTGCTGACTTCCAAGTTCTTGGAAGTTATACATTATAATAAGATATAATCGAGGTATTTGTAAAATATGCGAGCATACATGAAGGCAAATTCGTTTCTTCTTGGAGGAGTTGAGAAGACTTCCCATTGGAGCTAGACCACCATAGGACTAAAAGTTTGGGTAGGGTAGGTTTCTATTCAACTCTGTATCACTTGTGTAAATATTGAAGCACAAGAAATGCATGACTTTTTTTTTTTTAATGGTGGGGTGTTTTTTTGTTTCTTTGGTTTTTTTTTTTTAGTGTTTATTTTTGAGAGAGAGGAGAGTGCAAGCTGGGGAGGGGCAGACAGGGAGGGAGACACAGAATCCGAAGCAAGCTCCAGGCTCAGTGCTGCCTGCACAGAGCCCGAGACGCGGGGCTGGAACTCACAAACCCGGAGGTCATGACAGGAGCCAAAGTCAGACACTTAACCCATTGAGCCCCCCCGGGCACCCCATGACTTCTTTTTTTTTTTTTTTTTTTTAATGGAAGTACAGTTGACACACAACGTTCCATTAGTTTCAGGTGTGCAAGGTAGTGGTTCCACAGCTGTTATGCTCTGCTCACCACAAATGTAACTACCATCTGTCAAGAACATGACCTTTGAAATCAGACCTGGTTTTCTGTTCTAGCTTTGCCACTTCATTGACAGCTGTCCTTGAACATCTTGTCCTTGAGTCTGAGTTCCCTTATCTGCAAAATGGTGATAGTAATACAAGCTGCATAAAACTGTTCAGAGGATTAAATGAGAAAGTATATTATAAAGCATTTAAAGCTGTCCCTGACACAGTTTCTCAAATCCAACATGTAAGATGAAACATAAGCGGCTAAGAAAAAATAAACAACTAGGGAAACCATGACGTGCCGTCGATTGTAAGATGTATCCCATTCAGAGTTAAAATGTGGGGTGGCTGAATGGCTCAGTCTGTTAAGTGTCTTGCTTTCAGCTCAGGTCATAGTCTCAGTTTGTAGGTTCAAGCCCTGCATTGGGCTGTGCGCTGACGGTATGGAACCTGCTCGGGATTCACTCCCTGCCTCTCTCACTCTCTCTAAACAAATACATTTTTTTTTTAAATTTTTTTTTCAACGTTTATTTATTTTTGGGACAGAGAGAGACAGAGCATGAACGGGGGAGGGGCAGAGAGAGAGGGAGACACAGAATCGGAAACAGGCTCCAGGCTCTGAGCCATCAGTCCAGAGCCCGACGCGGGGCTCGAACTCACGGACCGCGAGATCGTGACCTGGCTGAAGTCGGACGCTTAACCGACTGCGCCACCCAGGCACCCCAACAAATACATATTTTTTTAAAGTGAAAAAAGCCTCAATACAGTAACAATCAACAATACAATAAGAGGAATGTCTATTACTCCTATGTAAAAATTTACTACAGAACCATGGGCTGCTAGGATAACATTTCCTGGGGCAACAATATCATGACCCTATTACCCTTGTTTAAGAACAGTGCTAGAGGCAAGTTAAAATAACACATTTCCTACGTTCTACCAGATTCCTTTATCCTATATCCCAAGTTTTTTAATCTTTCAGTTGTACAGATTTTTAGATTTCAAAAGTTTTCCCCATGAGGACCACCATTTCAGAGTTTACTGTACTGCTTCAGTCCCCATGCCTATGACAAGGCTTTTGTCCTGGGACTTCCTTTTATTGTTCTCTTGGATAGGATTCATGTACCCATATCTTCTCCCTTAGTTTATACTATCTTACGTTATGGTACATCCTCCAGTAACTTGTGGAAGGTAAATGGGAGCTAAACCTGCAATGTGATTATTAGAAGTGTTAGTAACAACACTGGTTCTAAACGAATGTTTAGGACCGGGCCAGGCATCATAAAAGACGAGAGAAATTAAACCCCTGCTTTATAACAGACATGAACGGATATGGGCCTTAGGTTTGAATGCTACCCCACTAGGTGTGAGCCCTATTACTATCAGTGATTTAGCTTCTCTGAGCCTCACTTGAGTTTAAATTCGTAGAGATAAAAATGCCTACCTTCCAGAACTACTTTGAGGTTTACGTAGGACTGAGACCACCACTCTGGAGTCAGACCGCCTGTCTTCAGATCTTGGCTTCGCCACCCCAGTAGATGTGCAGTTTTAAGCAAATCATTTCACTGCATTGTGCCATGGTTTCCTAGAATATGCAATAGCATAATGGTAGTGAGGCCTAAATCCAAAGGTGGTTTTTTTTGTTGTTTTTTTTTTTTTAAAGATTTTGTGGGTAAAGTGTTTAGAAGAGTACCAGGCTCAGAGAAAGGGCACGTGAAGTGTTGATTGTTATTGTTACTGGTTCTATTAAATCACCTAGCACATAATCCTTGAACTAATTTTATTTTTTCTATCCATTTTCCCTGGATTCTTGTTCTCTTCAAAAGCTTCGGTTATGGGGCACCTGCGTGGCTCAGTCGGTTAAGTGTCCAACTTTGGCTCAGGTCATGATCTCCTGGTTCGTGAGTTTGAGCACCTAATCAGGCTCACTACCGTCAGCGCACAGACCACTTTGGATCCTCTGTCTTCCTCTCTCTGTCCTTCTCTCTCAAAAATAAACATTTAAAAAACAAACAAACAAACAAACAAACTTTGGTTACCATCTGTCTTCTGATGATCCATAAAGCAGTATCTACAGCCTGAGTTTCTGTCCTGATTTTCAGACCTGATATCCGACTGCCAAGTGGGCATTTCCATTTGGAGATCCCAAACTGGACATACCCAGTTCTTCTACACTAACTCCAATATTCCCTTCTTCCTTTCTTCTCTTACAGAGTAGCACCACTTGGTTTTCAAGCCAGAAAACAGGAACTACCCCCAGTTATTCCCTCTTCTTTATCCTATACATCTAATCACCAAATGTGATAAATTCTCCCCGCTTCATTTCTCTCTCTCTTTTCTACATCTTTCAATTCCTTCTACTGCACTTTAGCTCAGGTTACCATTGTCTTCCTTTGCAGTACAGACTTCTAAATGGTCTCTAGTTACACACCCACCTATGTCCCCCCACTAAGCCATTCTTTTATGTAGCCAATAGTGATCCTCCACTACAAAGATGATTGGATATAGAGAATTTAGAAGAGGAAGGAGCTGAGGGCAGTTCCCAATTTTTCCCCCCTTGGGTACCTGAATATATTCACATTGGAAAAAACAGGAGAAAAATGGATTTTTAGGGGAAGGTTTTTGTTTTTTTTCTCCACTAGGCTAGGAGGACTAGATAAAGACCTTCAGAAACGTTAAGCACTGAAAAGATTATGAGGCCCCTTCCCAAAATACAATTTAAAATAAAACTAATGCTAAAGTGAAATGTGAGTTTACTGTCTTTTGGAATACTTATCTTTTCAAATGATTTTCACTGTGAGTGTGTGTCCCAAGTGTGTGTTTAATTTGCCTTCTGGGCAACCCAGCACTCTGGATTGAAGGCAGAAACTGTCTTGTTACATCTCCCACTTTTGGAACATGGCCCGGCACAGAGAAGCTTCTCAATATATAATGAATGAGTGAGTGAATGATACTTTTCGGGAGAGAGGACTATAGGTTGGATAAATATCTTGGAAGAATGGGGAATTTTAGCTTGACTTTGAAGAAAAAGTGAAATCAGGACGTGGGAGAATCAGTGATTGAAAGCATTGAATTGAGAGTGGGAAAGAGGACAGCATAGCCTGTATGTAGTAGAAACAACCAATATGTGTAAAGAGAATATATATTCAATAGAAATGGAATTGACTAGGTAAAGTAACTGGATTATATCTGTAAGAGGTACAAAGTTGAAATTCAGCAGATCCGTGGATCTGATCCTGTGCAAAGAACTTGGTATGCACATTTTTCCCCCTGAATCAAAGAGCCCTAGTTTTTTTTTAAATCCAATTCTTAAGTGAGTTTATAAACCAATAAATGTTAAGATTTATGTTGTATATTTGAGAGACTGATAAGAAGTCTTAAGCTTGGTGCTGTAGCCATTTAATGCTCAAAAATTTTTTACTACAGGGGCACCTGAGTGGCTCAGTTGGTTAAGCAACTGACTCTTGGTCTTGGCTCTGGTCATGATCTGGTCTGGTTCATGAGTTCAATCAAGTTCGTGAGTTCAAGGCTGTGCTGACAATGCAGAGCCTGCTTGGGATTCTCTCTCCCTCTCTCTCTGCCCCTCCCCTGCATGTTCTCTCTCTCTCACACACACAATAAATAAATAAACTTAACAAAAATATCTAAAAGAAAGGAGCAGAAGGGAGGGAATGAGAACCTCAGATCTGGAGATAAAGCCTGAAAAGTTGGGCCATCAAATGGGAAAGGGAAAATTAAAATTAGTCTTTGTTTACAAATGACAAGATCTCATATGTAGAAAACCCCAAAGATTCCACAGAAAAAAACCAACTGTTAGAACTAGTAGGCAAATTTCGGCAGAGTGGCAGAATACAAAATCCACACACAAAAATCAGTTATTTTCCATAATAATAATCCAAAAAGGAAATTGAGAAGACAATTCCACTTGCAATAACATCAAAAATAAAATACCTAGGAATAATTTAACCAGGGAGGCCAAAGATTTGTACACTGAAAATTACAAAATACTGGTGAAAGAAATGGT